GGCACATGGTTGTAGTCCCAGGTACTTGGGAGGCTGAGGCAGGAGAATGGCTTGAACCCAGGAGGCGGAGGTTGCAGTGAACTGACGTGCCACTGTACTCCAGCTTGGGCAATAGAGGGAGACTCCATCTCAAAACAAAACAAAACAAAACAAAAATGTTTCAAAAGTGTTTTAAGCCTAGTATGTTCAAAACAGAACTCTTGATTTCTTGAAACTGTTCCATCTAACTAAATGGCAACCCATCTTCCCAAGTCAGAAAATTAGAATTTATGATTCCTTTTTTCTCTCTGTCCCACATTCAATCTTCAACAAGGTCTTAAAGATTCTACGCTCCCATTCCATTCCCTCTTCAGTATAAATCTCTCTCTTTCCTTTTCCGTGCTGCTATCGCCTCAGTCTAGGCCACCGTTTTCTTTCTCCTGGAAAACTGCAACAAATTCCTAACTAGGAACTCTACTTCTATCTTTTGATGTCTTGCCACTTTTTTGTGTGTACAGTAGAAAAATTTTAATAAAAAAAATTTTTTTTGTAGAGACAGGGTTTCACCATGTTGTCCAGGCTGGTCTTGAACTCCTGGACTCAAACAATCAGCCCGCCTTGGCCTCCCAAAGCGCTCTGAGATTACAGGCCAGAGCCACTGTGGCCGGCCAACGACATTCTTAAAATACAAATAGAACTATTTCATTTCCTGACTAAAGAATCATCAGAGGTCTCCCACTCCCCTGAGAATAAAACCCCAATTCTTCATTCTGATTTGCAAGGCAAGTATAATGCCCGCCTAGCTCTCTTGATGTTGCCTGACTTTTTGATGTAGTCTTAGGCTGTCTCCCTTCAGCTTATTAATGCTAAGCCTCTTTGTCCTTTCTTTTTTTTTTTTTTTTTTGAGACAGGGTTTTGCTCCGTTACCCAGGCTGGAGCACAGTGGCACAATCATGGCTCACTGCAGCCTTGACTGCCAGGCTCACGGGATCGTCCCATCTCAGCCTCCCAAGTAGCTGGGACTACAGGCATGCGCCACCATGCCCATTGCATTAAAAAACATTGTTTTTTAAGTAGAGATGGGGTCTCGGTATATTGCCCAGGCTGGTCTCAAACTCCTTCTCCCACCTTGGCCTCCCAAAGTGCTGGGATTACAGGCATGAGCCACTGTACCCAGTAACCTCTCTGATTTTTATTCTTTGCATTCACCAAGCTCTTTTCTGCTTCTTGAAAAGC